ACTCTACCCAGGGGGACAGCTTGAGGCTCTGTCTCAAAAAAAAAAAAGAAAGAAAGAAAGAAAGAAAGAAAGAAAGAAAGAAAGAAAGAAAGACAAATTATTGGCCCATGCCAGACCCCAGACCTGATTCAGTGGGTCTGGGGTGGGGCTGGAATTTGCTTTTCTGGGCGGTGCTAATGTTGAAGGTTTAAGAATCATTCTTTGAGAAATCAGTAGCCCAAAGGATGGGATAAAAATACAAGCCTTGTCTTCCTCACAGAATTGTGGTGAGCAAATGAGATATCCTGTGAATGTACTTTGTAAATTAGAACATGCTGTGCTAGTGTAAGAAGACGTTATTTTCATTATTCCTTAAATAAGCAGAGGGCTGGCCCTAAAAGAAGAAAATGAATTCTGCTGCAGAGAATTAGTTTGACAGGTATAGATCCTGCCCCATTATGTCAGAATGACATCACAGGACAGCATTATTACCTATGCACAAGAAAACACCAGTGACGCAAGAATTCCAGTGATGCTTGGGTCATCTGAAAAGGAGCCAGTTCCTTCCTACCTGTAGCCATCCTGGAAGCAAAAAACACCTCAAGCTGCAGGTTTAGCTCTTACAGCCTGAAAGAACCCAGCCCTGCATTAAATTTGGGAGCCTCTTTCCCATCCATACTGAGTGATATGGAAATGAAATTGTTATGTTAACCTTAATATTTTCTTTGCCTTTGAACTGTGTTTCTCAAAGTGTGGCCCCCAAGGAGCAGCAGCAGAAAGTCTGACTCACCCCAGACCTACTAAATCAGAAACTGATGTGGAGCCCAGGAATCTGTGTTTTACATTCTGACACATGATAAAATTTGAGAACCACTGCCTTAGAGTCACTTGTTCACACTGGAAAGCACCTCTAACTCCCACTATATTCTGAACCACTAATCAATTGGTCTTCTAATTCTTTAGAGTGGAAGACTCACCTGTTCACCTGTGTAGCAGAGTTCTGATATCAAGACCCTGAACCATGCCTTTATATCCCCAGCCTTTGCCATCTCAAAGTGGACAGATGATCCTTTCCTCCCCTCCTCATCTTCAGTCCCATCAAACTAAGATGCCGCCCCTGCCAAGGATGAGTGTCTTCATTGTGTTACCCACATCAGATCCTAAGGTCTCAGTGCCACTTTGTGCTAAATCCAAGACAAACCTGACACTTAATCTTCCAAAGTTCTTGAACCTTTCAATTTAGACTTGTCTAACTGCCCTCAGGGTCAGCTCTATAACTAATTCCATTCCTACTAATCCTACTTGAGCCTAGTCTTGGCTTCCTCCTACTCCTTTTCCTGAAGTCTGTTGATTGAATCCCAGCATGTCTTGCAGTCCTGATGGCAGAAATAGACTCCTTAAAGCAACATTCTTGACAGGAATCCTTACCACATCTACCCGCTTTGGAGACCAGTCTTGGCTGCTACTGCAACCTGATTTGAAAACTTTGTAATCCTACTCAAATGGGTTATTTTACCTTAGAAGCACTGTGTTGCTATCAAGACATTTAGCTGTGAATGACCAGTTAATTCCACACTACAGAATTAAATATTCCATACCCCTGGGGCATGGGGGGGATTATGAAGGATAGCAGGAGGGAGTGTACTGCAGTGATGAAATTGTTCTATATTCTTATTATGGTAATGGTTACACAGAGTCTATGCATGGGTTGACATCATTAAAAACTCCTTTGAGGACATTTGTCAGTAAATGCTAACAGCCTTTAGGATGTTCATACCCTTTGACCCAAGGATTCCATTTGGGAATTTAGTCCAGAAGAAATAATCAGAGAAGCACACAAATAATTATGTACAGAGATGCTTAATGCAGAATTATTTATAAATGGCAAAAAGATACAATTTACAGCAGTAGTAGGAATGGTTAAAGTTAACAATAAAGCATATCTATGTAGTAATATAGTATTATATATGCATTAAGAGCTAGGCTTTTGAAGAAATCCTAATGTTATTGGCACATGTTAACTTATGTCATTGACAAAAGCAGGCTACAAAATATGGTTCCAAAAGCATGATCCCAATTATGTGATATGTATGTGCATAGAAAAAAGCACTGGAAAGAAATATACCCAAGATATTAACAGTGAAATCGTTAAGCTGCAGGGTTATGGGAAATTTGTGTCTTACATTTTTTTGTCTCATCTAAAATGTCATGTTTTACTTTAAAAAACCTATTTTTCGGCTCGGCGCCTGTGGCTCAAGCAGCTAAGGCGCCAGCCACATACACCTAAGGTGGTGGGTTTGAATCCAGCCCGGGCCGCCAAACAACAATGATGGCTGCAACCAAAAAATAGCTGGGCATTGTGGCAGGTGCCTATGGTCCCAGCTACTTGGGAGGCTGAGGCAGGAGACTCGCTTGAGTCCAGGAGTTGGAGGTTGCTGTGAGCAGTGAAGCCATGGCACTCTACCCAGGGGGACAGCTTGAGGCTGCTGTGAGCAGTGAAGCCATGGCACTCTACCCAGGGGGACAGCTTGAGGCTCTGTCTCAAAAAAAAAAAAAAAAAAAACTATTTTTCTACCTATAGCAAGTATTCAAACATAAGCATAGATTATTCTTATAGTTGGGGAAAAAAAGAACATTTTACCCTCTTCTCCAAAGCATCAAGGGCTGGGGTATTAGTGTGGGGGTGAGGTGGAAGTGGTTATCTCATGAGCAAATAGAAAGATATATGGATCTCAGAGAGAGGAAACAAGAGAGCTAGAACTGAGGAGCACGCCAGACCAGAGATCTATCCCCAGTTAGCATAGGCAGAGGAAACTGTACCGGAGGCAGGCAGGCTGTTCAGAAACCCCCAGGGAATGTTTAGAGACAGGACTCC